CAGACCTCATCCCCTAGGATGTCACTCTAGCAATTCTTCCATCTCTCTCCTGTACCATTAGCTTTTCCTTTCTACTGGATGCATTCTATAATATATAAACATACTCTTATCTCTTCCTTTTAAGAAAATAAAAACATCTCCCATCCCACTTCCTCTGCCAGCTACTATTCTATTTTTCTGCACCAGAACTCCTTGAGTTTTCTAATATTTGGTATCTCCAATTCCTTCCCTTACATTTTCACTTAAAACCACTCCAATTAGGCTTACACCAACATCATTCCCCTAAAGCTGTTATAACAGTTCAAGCCTCGTCCGTGTTGGACTCTGCTCTAGGCATGAAGCCTACTTAAAAACAAACAAACAAAAAAAAGAGTGAGCACCATAGGTAGGATGGAGATAAGATAATTGGGAGAGAAGTGATCAAGAAACTGAAAGGCCAGCATGTTTGAAAGATAATTAATGAATCAGAGTTGGATAGATGACAAAAACAATGATGGGTAGTAGGAGACATAATCTAATGACTTATTTACATTAGTAAGTAAAGGAAATCAGAGTAATGTTGAACTGAATTATTTTTCATGAAACACCATAACCTCTCTCAACTAGAGATAGTATCTCTATCTGACAGTGGATTATTTGGCCTATGCACGCAATTCTTGCATCCTCATGTTCTTAGTATTTTCCCAGCTATGACTCAGAGATCTGTGCTAATCATTTCTCTCCTTGCATTTCTAGCCTCTATATGTTCTACTCTTAGTTAAGTATTCATGGTGAAGAGAATCAAACTCAGTGTTGTTAGGTTGAAAAGCATCAGAAAAGGAAAATCAGTGACAGTCTTCAGGGTAGTAGTAATGGAATTTTTAACTTGAAAATTAGTTGTGAATAGACTTCACAGTCTAGATAGTCACATGCAAATTATATGCTAATATAACTTTAGCTCAGCAAACCAGTTTGCACAATTAGTTGAGACATTTGATATTGCACCTACTGCCCTGTGAGTATATCTTACTGTTTGTCATAAATGAATATTTGAAATATATGTATAAATAGAATTTTGGTAATACAAGTCATATTTTCTGAATGATTTGCATAATAATGTCAAAAATCTTCACTTTAAATTAATCCTAATTGGGAGTGATAACAGTTTTTCTTCCTAAGTATTTCTTTCAAGTGGCTAAATCAATATTTAAATGCACCAAAAGTTGTTATTTTTTAAAATCCAGCAATTAAGCATTTTAATGAGAAAAATCAGTCTTAAGAAAAAGAAAAATCATTCTTGAGCCATTAATTTTAAGTTAGGAAGGACAAGAGAAATTATCTAGTGCAACTCTGTCATATGAGAAAATTTTGAGGCCCAGAACAGAAAAATTAAATACTTTGCCTCATTATCACCCATTTAGCTATAATTGCTGATATAGACCTAGAACTCAGATCTTGATATTTATTCCATATATACATAATTTTATTGTTATAATCTATCTTTTCACAAATAAAATCTTGTCTTTTGGTATCCAAGCTTTTTTGTTGTTGTTACATTTATTCTTTGATTACATTGAGACTTTTGTAAGTATTGCTTTGTTCATTCTTTGAGAAAGTATAAGGTACTTAACTGCTCTTTATTATCTGCTTGATTTCTTTTCTAGATATACTACATCTATACCTACAGCTAGCTATATTACAGCAGATTGTTTTTATCTTTCTTAATGAGATTGACAAAATTACTTTTCATGGAAAAACCATTACCATTTGTTGATAGAAATTGAAGTTCTCTGGTACAAATGTCTGTCAGACCTCTTGCTGAAAATTGGGGCAGGGGGAGAAGTGATAGGTACAAAAGTCTCATTTTTTCCTATCAATTTAAAAAAGATGTAGAACTTGGTCATCAGAATATAGATCTAAATTTTGTGTCATTAGACCCCTTTTATACATGTTTAATATTAATATGAAGAAATAAACTATAAAAAACATGGTAATTAAAGCAGGTATATGGAATAATTTTATTTTTTTAACTGAAAACAATTTTAAATGCTTGGTATTTTAAAGATAAAAATTAAAGTTCTAATAATTGTTTTTACGTTCTTTATATGTTATAGTTTTAAAGAGAAATTGTGATATCAAGTTAGATCATTTTACCATGTAAGTTGTTGAAAATTAAGAAAATTGGCCAAAATAATACACATGATTTGAAATGTGCTGTCTTTGGGACATGTTTTAAATACTTTGATAAGCTAACCTTTGTTAAATGCCTGGAAACATTAATAAGGAGGACAGGGACATATTTGTAACTAGATTTCCTTCTGCCAACTCCTGGTTTATAAGTTACTCTACTGCTAAAAAGCAACAAAAAAAGACAATAGCCTCAAAATTAAAGGGGTTTAACTTAAAAAAATTTTAGATGACAATAGAACATATTTTTATCTTTTACTGATTATTATAAGTATTGCTGACAAGGAAATGTATCTCATGGAGATTAATAATACTTAGTAGTAGTTTAATATCAATACCATATAAACTAGTTCAATTTTAAATGCTATAACCCATGCATCATAAATGAATATTATCAATTTATATACCTAAATGTATTGTCTTTTTCCCATTTAATTTTGTTATCAGAGTGTTTATTGTCCTAGAAATCTAGTTAGTTTGGGGAAATTTATTGCTTGTAAAGTTCTGAGCATTGTTGGTGATTGGATTGTTTTATGTTAGTGATAAATAAGGAAAGAGATTAAGATGTATTGGCTTTATGTCTTTGTTTTTGTTCTGATATCAAATCTCTCCACCACTTTTGAAGAGAATCTTAGCTTTACTATGGTTACTATCAGAATGGGAGAATATGAAATAAATAATTGATTGTATTGGTTGAACAGTGGCAACAAAAAACTAAGAAGTAATTTATGTATGTGGTGTTTTATAAAGTACCTCACATAGTAAATTTACTACCATGCACTTAAGACAAATTTTATTATTGAACAATTTGGGGCAGAAGGAATAATGTTTAAGAAACTTTTTGTAATATATGCAATAATAATGGTCTTGGGTAGATTCATTATTGGTGGATTAGAATGAACTGGCTATATTCTTGATCCACCCTCCTTTAACCCATACTGACATTCATCAAATGGTTGGCTGAAATTCATTTCATAATCTGGGACCTTGGAACAGAGTTTACCCCTTGTGCAAATCTAATTGACCCAGATAGGAATTGAATATGCAGGAATTCAAACAGCAGCACTGTATTCTGAAAGTTGAGCTACCCAGGACAAATATGTTACTTATTTATTCATATATATTTATGTATTTATATATATATAAATATCCATATATTTATGAAATAGTTGCATCACTGTCTTTATGGAATTTCATTTTTCATAGACACATTTATAGACTCATGAAACTGGAAAAATGTGACCATGTGATCCAATGTATCTTCATCCAAAATGGAGATATATGAGAAATAACCATACTGCCAAAGCCTTCAACTGGAGCCATATTTGTTTTGCATATAACAGCATTCTTTTTTTTCTAATAATCTTTTTTAATGTTTATTTATATTTGAGATAGAGACAGTGTGAGGGGGGAGGGCAGAGAAAGAGGGAAACAGAATCTGAAACAAGCTCCAGCCTCTGAGCCGTCAGCGCAGAGACCGATGTGGCTCACACTCATGAACTGCAAGATCATGCCCTGAGCCAAAGTCAGACACTTTACCAACTGAGCCACCCAGGCGAACTGCATATAACAGCATTCTTTTCTCTTGGTTTTCTTTCTTTCTTTTCTTTTCTTCTCTTTTCTTTTCTTTCTTTCTTTCTTTCTTTCTTTCTTTCTTTCTTTTTTGTTAGTTGCTTTGGGGCTAGATGTTGCTGTTCAATAAAATATTTGCAGAGATGTGCATATATTTTTATTGAACAACCTACCATTGATTTTGCACACTAAGTAATCTGCTACTTTTCCTAACTTCTTATGTTCTTTATTGTTGCATGTGTGCTTCAAATTATATTTCATTTTTTCTTTAGGTCATTTATTCTGCATATGTGATTGCTTTACTTAGGATCATGGTAGAGCAAATACTTTTGTATTTTTAAGGTCACCCACAGCTTTTACAGCATTAGTTACTGAAATGTCTATGAAATAGCTATGTTCCAGATCCTCATTATCATGACTTTTAATGTTCAGCCATAGCACACAGGTTGTCCGTTATCAAGAATATTAAATTCAGACAATGTTAAACCAGATTTTCTTCATTGTAACTATATTTTCTTTGAGGTGTTTTATAACGTTTGTAAAAAAAAGTTTTAAGTAAGCTCTGTGCCTAACGTGAGGTTTGAACACACAACCCCAAGATCATGAGTCTTATGCTGTACCAACTAAGCCTACCAGGCTCCCCATTTTTCTAAAATATTTTAAAACAGTAACATTAATGCTAACATTCATGTGAAAGATAATGTCTTCTTAAATTTATACATTTATTTTATTGATTTCATTTTACAAAGTAGAAATTATATTCATGTTCATATGTCTTAAAAGATCAAATTTTTAAATTACTATTATTTTAGCAGTTCTAAGAAAATTAAAACTTTTCTGGAAGATGAGCTCAGGTGATCAGGACATTGATTCAGGTGTACTTGGCATAGCAGTTCATTAACTAAGTGTTAATTACCCATGATTACTCCTGAAAAGCTATAGTGGCTTCATCTTTTAGGTTGCTTCATTAAATCATTAATTTTCTTGGAGGTAACTAAGCTTGACATAATTAAGACATCTCAGTCTCCACAGATTTTTATTTTCCCATGATGTCAAGAACACTGAGCTAGTTAATATAAGGCATTGTAACGTATTCCCTGGATGTACTGACTTTATATTTTTAAATTATTTATACTATTTGGGTTAATTTTATATTTTAGTAGTCTCATAAATTTTAATTACTTCCTCCATGTTGTAGCTTAGATTTTGAATTGTATGTGTAATATGTCCATTTCTGTATTTGAACCACTTCTTACCAACAGTTCTTTGACTCATGGCTACATAAAGCTGCTTCAGTTTATCCAGAACATCATATATGAGGAAGGATTTGATGGATCCAATCCCCAGGTATTGAGTACCTTCAAAGTTTTTTATAATCATCTATGTAATGTTGTTTTTAAACTCTCTAGGGGTAACCCAGAAGGTTTTAGAATAATTAACAGTGAACAAGCTGTTTCCAAGCACAGAAGATGTAAATAAGCAAGGCACAGGCAGCCTTTGTTTGATTTTTGATGTGTAGAGTTTTAGCTAAGTTCTCAGTGGATGCACAAAAGACATATACATACATTGTCAACATAAATTATTTTTAAATATATATTTGTGGCACCTGGAATAACTAAACTGCTGCATTTTGAAAATTACTCCTAAATCTGCAAGACGTGTACTTTTGTATCTAAATTTTTTTTAAGTTAATTTAGTTTGAGAAAGAGAGAGAGAGAGGGGAGAGTGAGCAGGGGAGGGGCAGAGAAGAAGGAGAGAGAGAGTCCCAAGTATGTTCTATGCTGTCAGTACAGAGCCCAACACAGGACTCAATCCCATGCGCCACGAGATCATGACCTGAGCTGAAACCAAAAGTCAGATGCTTAACTAACTGAGTCACCCAGATGCCCCTCTTATCAAAATTTTTTATATTTCTGTCATTCAGTCCTTAATTGAATAACCTGGTGAGTAAGAATTAATTATTTTAAGATTTTATTTCTTGTTATATCATGCTTTAGGTTATTTCACTGAATAAAAACTGCATTTTTTATTTGCTATATTAAAATATTTTATAACTTAATTATTTCTCTGTAGCTCTGTTTTTAAGAACGCAAGTTTTTAAATTCCCACTATTAAAGATTCCAAATTCCCACTATTAAAGATGTTCTGGTTAGTTTAACTTGAACAAAATGAGAGAAATTTTATTTCCAGTTATAATGCCATTTAGAAATCTTTCTCGGTGATTTTAATTGCTAAAGCTGCTAAAGATTTTCAGTTCATGTATATTATTTCAGCAGAATTATTTCCAGAGCACCATTATTTTTATTGAAGAAAGTAAAGAATCCAAAAGTCTTATTTTTGGCATTATCAACTACATTTGCTCTTAATCCATAAATTTTTAAGTATTCTTATAAACTTTACTGCTATATTTAATGTTTTTTCCACAGCAATGTTAATAAATTTTAAATTTGTTTTGATCATCAGTTTAATACAAAGTTGAAAATACCATACATGTGGTGAAGTATATACATTTATTTATAGATAGCTTTTCACGTGTGTTACAGTTTTTGTGATGGTCCTTGGTTTTTAATACAGTTTTATTTTGTTCATCGTTGCTCCGTTTTTGGTCCTAGCTAAGATTTATGGGCACTATGTCCTCCCTTTGGTGGCATTGTCCGTCTGGAGAGGTAAATTGGTCCCTGACAGACACCTCTCCCTCCCTATGTGCTGTGGTTACTATGGAAACAGACATGTCATAACAGTTCCTATGATACAGTGTGCAGAGCTCCTGTTCTTGCAGGATGATGACACATCTTCTAAGAGCAAGAAATTTTATAAAATACAAAAAATCAAAGGCAATAACAAAGATACACACATACTTCCTTGTATATGTATATATACATATGTACACATATTTATATATATGTACACACACCCATCCATCCAAAGGACCCTTGATAAGTAAGCTATTATTGGAATGGAATAAAATGTTTGTTTTCTTAGTTGTTTATTTGAGTATTAAAAATACCACCATTTTCAATAAATAGTATTTTATTTGATGAAAGCTGATAAACTGAACTGGTTTGTCTCTGAACCAGAAGTTCCACACAATTGACTTTTATAAAGGTTAAAAGGGTTGAGGTAAGCATTTATATACTGAATACCAAGAACGCTGAAAAAGTTTACAACATACCGATAAGTTATAAAATATATTTCCAATTTTATTGGAATTAAAATATATCTACTAAATTTCCATATTGTTATATTTTAGAGTATATCATTTGCTAAATTACCTCAACTATATTTCTGTCTCAGAAACTTTAGATGAGTTCAAGAAGCCACAAAAATTCATCTATCAAGCACTGCTTCAAAAAATCTTATTCCTGAGTCAAAATAATGTTCTGATACTGAAATAAATTCTTTTTAAAAGGAAATTTTCATCTTACTTTCTGTATCACTACATTTTCAAATAAATTTACATTTTCAAGTAAACTAACTTAATTTGAGATAGGCTATAAGGAATTGAGTATTATAGAATACTGTATAATAACTTTGTAGTAAGTAAAGTAGCTCATCTGCAAAGATATTTGGAGTGGAGATGTTTACAAATTGCTGTCATAATTTCATTTAAGTTATGATTTTTAAATATCTAAGAAATATACAATAAAAATGAAGTTTGAAAATTGATTTCACTTAGATATCCAGATTAAATATTTTAGATGTTCTCATTGGAATGAATTTAATATTTATTATTCAGCTTTCAACAAAAGTTTATTTTTTAGTTTGATTAGACCTCAATAAATTATATTAAAAATTTTTTGGTTATGCCTCACAGTGTGCCCCATTATTATATGGCATAGCAAAGGAATTATATGCCTGAAATTACACAGGAAATTTGTAAATCAGCCTTTGCTTTTGCACTTACTATTATATTTTTAAAAATATAAATGTATTCCCAAGTCACCTAGGTGGCTCAGTTGGTTGAATGCCCAACTTCAGCTCAGGTCATTATCTTGTGGTTCGGGAGTTCGAGCCCTGCGTCAGGTTTTGTGCTGACAGCTTAGAGCCTGGAGCCTGCTTTGGATTCTGTGTCTCCCTCTCTCTCTGCCCCTCCCTGACACTCTGTCTCTATCTCTCTATCAAAAATAAATAAACATTAAAAAAATTTGTTTAAATATATAAATGTATTCCCTATGTTGAAGTATCATGCTCAAATATGTTCTGATGTGGTGAGTACATACCTCACTTAAATATCTTTTTCATTCTTTGGCTTAATATTGTCATTCTTTATACACACACACACACACACACACACACATATATATGTGTGTGTGTGTGTGTGTGTGTGTGTGTGTGTGTGTGTGTGTGTATATATACATATATATACAGGTATATATGTATGTGTGTATGTGTATCATCATATCTGTCATAGTCACTAAACTTCTACAGTTCTCCTGCTTCTGCACCTATCATCATTTTTGTTATAAACTTTTAGCAGATGCTTTTTGATACAATAGTTGGTAATGGTGACTGGGTTAAAATACAGCTGACCTTTAGTTTCTGAAATATTGGTAGGGAAAACCGTATAATGCTGCTCTCCTTCTACCTTCAGATTTTGTTTTAATACCTAGATTTTGGGGGCAGGTTTGTCTCTCCATTTTTCTAGATTGCTCTTTCTGTTGCAAATCTAATTTAAGCTACAGTTCAAGAGAAAACAAGTTTGGGATGACAAAATGAAGCTTAATCTTGCCATTTTACTTAAATTCTGAGTTTCTAAGTAATACAGTAAAAGGGATAACCTATAATTTCAGAGATATCTTACACAAATTCATCAAAATGCATTTAGATTTCTAATACATACATGCCCTGGTACATATTATTACTTCATTTCATTCAAGTAATGCAGAAATAAAAAAAGAAAACAATTTTTATGGACTGCCAATGATGTTAATATATGTCTTAAGGGTTGCCTATCATAACCTTAATACAACCAGAAAAGAAAACTGGACTAGCTGCCTTGATAGTATCATCACGTTTCAGGTCTTTGGAGTCAGGAAGAATTTTTCAAATGTGCTTAAACTAAATTCCTTTTTCTGTAATCACATTTTAATAGCTTTATCCAGGCCCTTTATATATCATGTCCCTTTATATATTTTAAAGGATTGTGTGATCTCGTAGAACAATTTTTTATTGTAGAGATGAGAGAACTAATGCCTAAGTAGTGTTGTGTCTTGCTCAGAGTCACATCTTCTTAGTTGCACAGTCCAGACTGTGAATCTGTCTTACCCATCTTACTGATTACTGTCCCCTTCTGTTTTTCCTCTTCTAACTTTTCAGTGTTTTATTCATTTCCCTACTTTCCTTTGTTAATAAATTCTCAAAAATACACAAACTCAACTTTCATGTGTAATATCAGAGAGATAGTAGTTGATTAATACATTTTATTAGTTAAATAAATTTTATTCATTTGTTATAACAATAACAAGCAATATGTGTTAGGATCTGACTTCATCAAAAAACACACTCAAATGACACATGTTCCAAATTTTTGATTTAAGGGAGAAAATGTATTTTCCCCATTAGAATTGTAATGATAAGTTTCCAATTATCTCCATGCACCAGGTTTTGCTAACGTCTCCTTCCTCTGCCCAGAAATTTTGCCAGATTGCTAAAGAAAGCATTTATAGGGGTGCCTGGGTGGCTCAGTTGGTTGAGGTTCCAACTTGGGCTGAGGTCATGATCTCATGGCTTGGCTTATGAGTTTCAGCCCTCATTGGGCTCTGTGCTGACAGCTCAGAGCTTGGAGCCTGCTTTGGATTCTGTGTCTCCCTCTCTCTCTGCCCCTCCCCCACTCATGCTCTGTCTCTCTCTCTCTCAAAAAACAAATAAAACATTTAAAAAAATTAAAAAAAAATTTTTTTAATACAAAATAAAGAAAGCATTTATAAAACATTTGTTTGGTTCGGATAACACAAACAGTAGAATTTGTTATAAATACATCTCTGGCAAATGCTTATTGATAATCAGTGTAGGTTTTGTTTAATGGTTTTTAAATGCTCTTCTCCCAAGAAATATCAGTCATCATTATGACCTTGATATCAGTAGTCTTGAGTTCCAAATGTTCATTTGTTCAATTTTGATAAGTATTGAACTGAATTATTTTGTAAAAATAGCTTCAAGAAGAATAAGTAAAAGCAAATATAAGGTATAAAAGCAAAACACACATTTTTAAACTTCTTTCAAACAAAATATCAGGCATTGGACATAATAGCACTAAATGAAAAATACTGAGCAAGTTATAGTTTATTGAAAGACTTGTAGAATTTTATAATACTAAGAATGGTTTCTAAGTATTCTAGTTTAGATGTTCTTTATTGCTAACTGATTTTTTTATGTATTATTTCAGCTGTCGCAAACATAATTCGTAAAGTGGTCACTTAAAATTTGGAAACTTGAGGCTTTTGATACTCTTCAAATTTTCCAAAAGTGAGAAAAAAACAGCTATTTTTTAATACTCTTGCAATATAGATGATTTCCTTTATATTGCCGTATATTAACTATACATAAAGCTTTTTACCATCTCTACTATCTCCCTGCTATGTTATAAATTTCAAAAACTGGCAAATAGAACTAAAGGAGGTATCCTATTTGTTAATAAAACTTAATGTGTTTGTCTCCCCCCCAACCCAACACACGCATTTCTTTAGAAAAAACAGAAAAACATTTTAAGAATAGGAATCCAGAATCTTGGTTCACCTTTGTGGGGGGATGACATCTGCTGTATGGAAAATGGCAACAGTCACAGCCTTACGAAGTTCCTGTATGTCCTCCGTGGTCTTCTGCGAAACTCTCTTTCAGCTTGTATGATCACAATGCCAACACATCTCATCCAGGTAAGAATCTTTCCAAAACTCCTTTCCCCTAATTAGTGCTACATAATGAAGAGCAATATATAAACACTCGGAGTCTGAGTCTGATAAATTATTTTCATATGCCATTTAAGTAGAACAGATTTCAGGAATGCCAGAGAGCAAAATGTCCTTTACTTTAGATTGTTAAATTGTTGTGTATTTGTAGTTTTAATATACAGTGAGTATATGGTAAGTCTATCTTTAATAATATTATTTTTTTCTTTGATTTCTTGTAAATGCATAATACATTGTGTTATGTGGTTGATTTTTTACTGATATCTTTTCATTAATCATTAGATTAATCATAAAGATCTAAGATATGGATATAGATCTTGAAGAAATATTTGCACACCCATATTCATAGCAGCATTATTTACAATAGCTAAAATGTGGAACCAATCTGAGTATTCATTAACAGATGAACTTGATAAGATATGGCCTATATTGCAATGGAATATTACTCAGCCTTGAAAATGAAGGAAATTATGAGGTGCCTCGTTGGCTCAGTCAGTTAAGTGGCTGACTTCAGCTCAGGCATGGGTTCAAGCCCCGCATCGGGCTCTGTGCTGACAGCTCAGAGCCTGGAGACTGCTTCAGATTCTGTCTGTCTGTCTGTCTCTCTCTCTCTCTCTCTCTGCCCTCCCTCAGCTCGTGCTCTGTCTCTGTCAAAAAATGAATAAAAATGTTAAAAATTTTTAATAAAAAAAGAAAAGGAAGGACATTCTAACATATGCTGCAACACTGATGAATCTGAGGACATTATCCTAAGTGAAATAAGTCAGTCACAAAAAGACAAATACTGTGATTCCATTTATACGAAGTACTTAAAGTAGTAAAAATCATAGAAACAGAAGGTAGTATGGTGGCTGCCCTGGGCTGAGGGAGAGGGAATGGCAAGTTACTTAATAGGTACAAAGTTTCTGAAAATGGTTGTTGGTGGTAGTGGCACAACATCATGAATGTACTTAATAACACGGAATTATACATTTAAAAATGGTTAAAATGGTAAATTCTATGTTATATATATTTTGCCACATTCAAAATTTTGAGGAAAAAAAGAAAAGGGGCACCTGGGTGACTCAGTCAGTTAAGCCTCCAACTCTTGATTTCAGCTCGGGTTGTGATCTCGCAGTTCGTGAGTTTGAGCCGCATGTTGGGCTCTGTGCTGACAGCCGGGAGCCTGCTTGGGATTCTGTCTCCCCTTCTCTCTGCCCCTCCCCTGCTTGTGTGCACTCTCTCTCTCTCAAAATAAATTAACACTAAAAAAATGTAAAAGGAAAAGAAAAGACAAACACTGATCTAAATAGGACATGTCCTTTTCTTCCCTTGCTGTTTCTATGTGTAAACCTCCTGAAACAACACTCTTAGGGAAAAAGGTCCATCTCCCCAGACAGAAAAAGAGGGATTTTTGCAAGATTTGCCTCATCAGCTCAAAAAGTCCTTTTCTTAAGAGTGTTCAAGAGGCTGGGGCACCTGGCTGGGTCAGTCAGAAGAGCATGCAACTCTTGATCTCACGGTCATGAGTTCAGGCCCCACACTGGATATAGAGATTCGTTAAATAAATAAAACTTAATTTTTTTTTTTATAAAAAGAGTATTCAAGAAGCAAGTTTGGGACAATTTTCATCATTGTTGTTATTTTATATGTAATAGAGAAAGTACAATTACATTGTATATTTTTCCACAGTATTTATTATTAAATATATTTCTATAACAAACACAATACTAGAAATAATAAAACTAAAAAAAAATCACCTGCAGTGAATGAATCTGAAAGTCAAAATAAGCTAAATCACTGAAATCATCTTTTCTAATGTACATACACTAAATTAACACTTTGCTATAGAATGACTTTCGTAGCAGAATAATGTTGAGCTTTGTTTTCCTTTACTTCCCTAGGAAGTCTCAATAATAATAATGATAGCACTAACAAATACAAAATACTTAAAGTCAAGATCTTAAAGTTCTTATAAAATCCTTACATAACTACTGTTGTAATCTACATTTTACATGTAAGGAAACTGAGATACAGAGAAGTTAAGAAACTAGATCAATGTTTAATACCTGAGAAACCATGGTTTGAACCCAGAAAACTGGGTTCCAGCACCTCATACTAGAATACGTAGCACGTTTTTATTCTGGAACTCATTCTCTCAAAGCTAGTAGCTCTCATATCTTTTATCTTGGAGTTAGAAAGGACGTGGGGCTTATCTGAGCTAGGCTCCTGCCTTCGGCTGAGTAAAGTAGTATCCCAAGTGAAATGACCTGTTCAAGCAAATCACAGAAACAAAGACTATCCTTGGTGAGATTTCATGGATCTATGCAAACTTTACATTTGATTAAACTAACAGGAATAAACACTGACAGAAATTAAATCAAATTAACAGAAATAAAAGATAGAATTGAAATTTGAAGTTCACCAAGGAGATAAAGAAATGCCATTTAAATTAAATTAATAAACATTAATTAAATTAACAGAAATATAAGATATAATTGAAATTTTGAGTTCACCAAGGAGATAAAGGAATGCCATTTTAAGATGCTGTATCTAAACATACTGTATAAGGGTTAAAGCTGAGACATTGTTTAAGGGCTATTAAGTTTGTAAAGCACCATATTCCTTCCTGCACAGGTAGAGAGAGGAGTATGATTGACAGCATACCCCCATACATTGTCAGTGACTTGTGCTTTTGAGCTTTCTAAGGGTTACCATAGCAACTTCCTGCTGTTCAAGTTAGCATTCCTCTTTAATAATTGCAAACTTTGAGCAAAAGAAAAATTAGATCTTAATCAGAAAAAAAGTTTGACTTTTCACATCAAGATTTCCTTTTTTTAAGTAAACTCTACCCCCAACATGAGGCTCAAACTCACAACCCTGAGATCAACAGTCACAAACTATCCCAACTGGTGCGTCTCACATCAAGCTTTCTTAAATCCAAATATTTCTCTGTCAACAAACTGTGGAGAAAATCCGCATTTCTTATAAATTTTATTATTGAAGCTGTGTTGTATCTCATTCATTCATTCATTTCTTCTACACTGCTTTTGAGTGACTGACAGTGCTATAGTCCACTATATATATAGTGGAAATTTTAAAATGAATGAGAGACACTGGTTCCTTTCAGGCACCTTACTCTGTAGTGGGGAGGTGAATATTAAAAACTTGTGTTTCAATCTGAAGATGAAATGCAGAAAACAATTGCATTCATAATAGCATCAAAAAGAATAAAATACTTAAAAATAATTTTAACAAGAAGAATGTACAACTTATACTCTGAAAACTACATAACATTGTTGAAAGAAATTTTAAAAGATCTAAATGAATGGAAAAACTTTCCAGGTTCATGGATCAGAAGGTTCAAAATTAATATGACCATTGTCTCCAAACTGATCTGCAGATCCAACACAGTCCCTATCAGAATCCCAGCTGACTTTTTTGGAGAAATCTGCAAGCTGATTCTAAAATGGCTATGGAATTTCAGAAGACTTAGAATAGCCAAAATAATCCTTTAAAAAAAGAATAAACTAGGAGGGCTCATACTTCTCAATTGAAAAACTTTCTAGAAAACAATGGTAAAAGACAGTGTAGTACTATCATAAGAATAGGCATATAGATCAATGAAATAGAATTGAGAGTCCAGAAATAAACCCATATATCTATGGTCAACTGATTTCGACAAGTGTGCCAAGACCATTCAATGAGAAAACGATAGGCTTTTTCAACAAATGGAATAGGACAACTAGATAGCCACATGCAAAAGAATGAGGGTGAACCATTACTCCACAGCATGTACAAAAATTAATGCAGGATGGATCGGAAACCTGAATGTAGCAGCCAAAACTATCAAGAAATGCATGCTCTACCAACTAAGCCAGCCAAGCACCTCAAAATTAAAAACTTTTATGTTCGATGGACACCGTCAAGAAATTGTTAAAGGCAGCCCACAGAGTAGGTGAAAATATTTGCAAGTCATATCTGATTAGAAATTTTTATCTACAATATATAAAGAATGCTTACAAATCAATAATAAGACAACTCAATAAAAATGGGACAGTAATTTGAGTACACATTTTTCCAGAGAAGATGTACAAATGGCCAATTAGCACATGAAAGATGCTCAACATCATTAATCCACAAAAATGCAAATCAAAATTACAATGAGATACTACTTAACATTCCCTAGGATGGGTAAAACAAAACCTCAGGTAACATTAAGTGTTGGCAAGGTGAAGACAATGGAATCCTTATACCCTGCTGGTGGGAATATAAAAGGGTACAGTTGCTTTGGAAACAGTGTGGCGCTTTTCAGTGATTCAACCTGGAGTTACAGTGTGACCCAGCAATTCCACCCATTAGTATATACCCAATAGAAATGAGACCATGTGTCCACATAGAAACTTGTGCCTGAAAGTTTATAGCATTATTATTAATAACAGCCAAAAGATGAAAACAGCCTAAATCTCTATTAACTGATACTGGATAAGCAAATGTGGTATATCCATACAATGAAATACTATTTGGCTATATAAAGGAATAAAGTTCTAATACTTGCTATAAGACAGATGGACCTTAAAAAGATTATGCTAAGTGAAAGAAGCCATCACAATAGAACATATATGATTTCATTAATATGAAAGTCCTGAATAGGGAAATCTGTAGAGACAGAAAGTAGATAGTGGTTACCTAAGGCTTTGTAGTGCTGGGAGATAGGGAGACCTTGAGTATGTGTTGGGGTGATAAATAAAAAGATTGGTTTGTTTTTTGTTTTTTTTTAAGGTGATGAAAATGTTATAAAATTGCCTTGAGTAATGGTTGCACATATCTGTGAATACTAAAAAACCTCTGAATTGTATACTTTAAGTAGGTGAATTGAATGGTATGTAGATTATATCTCAATAAAGCTGCTGATTTAAAAAAATGTAGGTTACATGGGGCACCTGGGTGGCTCAGTCTGTTGAGTGACCGACTTCAGCTCAGGTCAT